ATTACTAATATTTTACTGAATCCACATCCGTTCTGTACTAGGTTTCCAATATTTTACTCAATCCACGTCTTTCCCTGTTTTGTAACAGTTTTCAATATTTCATTCAATCAACGTCTATCTTTGTACTATAGCAAGTTTCCAGTATTTTAGTTGTGTAATCTGTTTGTTGTGCATTATTCTTCATACAAACAAACATGACTAGAACTAATAATTGGTTAATATTGTGTAATCTGTTTGTTGTGCATTCTTGTAACAAACAAAAGTGGCTAATAGTAGTAAAATGATTGACCTAGCTTGGATGAAGAGTAATTTGGTGGAATAAACTGTTACACTAAAGTCAATACTAAAATGCAATGAATTACTCATTACATATTTTTCTCACTCAGTAATAAGTAAACTGAGTAAAATATTGAAAAACCTACTACAGGATAGGGGTATACATGGATTGTGTAAAATACTGGAAACCTACTAAAGAACAGTGGTGGATTCAGTGAAATATGCGAATCCTGCTATAGAAGTGGGATAGACGTGATTTGAGTAAAATACTGGAAACCTACTAAAGAACAGTGGTGGAGTCAGTGAAATATGCGAATCCTGCTATAGAAGTGGGATAGACGTGATTTGAGTAAAATACTGGAAACCTACTAAAGAACAGTGGTGGATTCAGTGAAATATGCGAATCCTGCTATAGAAGTGGGATAGACGTGATTTGAGTAAAATACTGGAAACCTACTAAAGAACAGTGGTGGAGTCAGTGAAATATGCGAATCCTGCTATAGAAGTGGGATAGACGTGATTTGAATATTAACCAATTATTAGTTCTAGTCATGTTTGTTTGTACGAAGAATAATGCATGTAATCTGTTTGTTGTGCATTATTCTTCGTACAAACAAACATGGCTAGAACTAATAATTGGTTAATGTTGTGTAATCTGTTTGTTACATTAACCAATTATTAGTTCTAGCCATGTTTGTTTGTACGAAGAATAATGCACAACAAACAGATTACAAAACATTAACCAATTATTAGTTCTAGTCATGTTTGTTTGTATGAAGAATA